GCCTTTCACAAACTCAGGAGAAATAAGAATAAACACAATTCAATGAGACACAAATACAGAACTCTAACAGGGGCAGAATGCACTGTCTTGATACAAAGAAATCTCCTTCAGGAAACTGCAAATCTGACCATAGAATAACTTGAAGGATCTCTCAGAAACAAAGGAAATGGAGCAGAAAGAATGGTTACAAAGACAGAGAAACCAAGCAGTCAGACTAAGCGAAAGCTATGCAAAGATCCTTGGTCTCTGAAGGGAAAACTACAAGAAAAACCATAATAACAAACTTATTTTTATGGATGGGCCAGTGTTGGATATTAAAGGAGTTTATTCCCTGTTATGAATTCAGAGCGTAATAAATGTCTTTGTGGGTGTTTTGCTTGGGGGAGGGACGGGGGGCAAGAGGGGAGGAGTGAGTTAATGTTTTCTGTGGCACATGAAGTAGAATCTACAACAAACTCATCTGTACTCTGCCATGCAAATTATAGAATCTTACAAGCTTACCACCACTTGCATGTTTTTAGTATCATCTTACTGTATTGAAAAATCCACATTTATGTACTGTAAAGTACTCAGCTGAACAATTTCTTACTTCACCTACAGAAGTACCAAGCAGCTACATAGGTAGGTGTAATGCAGCTGCTTGGTCTCAGCTGTGTTACCTTGTCCTGCCTGAAGATCCCCAGGGACCTGATTCAACTCACCTGGAGCCTGTGAGAAACACAACTGAGTGCAGTAGCTGTGCTGCAGCAATCTCAATATTTGAGACTCCTCTAACGAAAAAGTTAATGAGAAGTATTGGTGAACAAACATTTCAGCTTTTAATAGTAAATGTATTTACTTTATGAGCTTATGATTGAGCTGTAAGCCTGATAAGCCAAGAAACTTGGGTTGTGCTCGTAGCTCTGCTGTGGATTCAGCATGAGATTTAGTATATGATGCTTTCTCTTACATTGGTATTTTCTATCTTAACACCACGAAAACAATCAATTACTTCTTAGAGAGGATGCATCAAGATTCCTGTATATCCCTTTCACCGAAGTTCTCCAGGTATGGTAAGAATTGCTTTTTTGAGCATGCATTTGTATGCATGGCTAACACAGAAAAAACTGTGACTTTTTCATAGCAAGGAACTCTAAAAGGTTTCAAAAATAAACTATTGGTGTATGTGCAGGTATTGCAGTTATGACAGTAATCAGATATTCTAGAAAATGTATGTCTGTTCAGTAATCAGAAAGGGGTAAAAAAAGAAAGAAATGTTAGAATTTATGAGAGAAAGGGATTTCTACTAAGCTTAATGTAAGTATGGGAGAAGGAGCATCCTTGTTCAGTCTTCTCCTATTTTAGCTGTTTAACATGTCTGAAAATTGAAGATTTGAACCTCAAGGAATACTACCTTAGTATTTTAAATCTTTAAAAAAAAAAAAAGAAAGCAGGATCCTTTTCCAATAATTCCTTGCTATTACTGTTATTGATGGGGGGAGGAAGAAAGTCACTTTCCATTTGAATAATATCAAGGTCAATGAAAAACCTACTAGTTTATTCCTTCTGAAGAATGAAAATACTACCCTGTTCACCTTCCCCTGCAAACTGTAAAAAAACAGCTAAGATTTCACACTATTTCCTGTTTAACTGTACTTACAGAACACAGACTAGGACAAAAAAATCTACATGTGTAGTCTAGTGTAAAACAGGTAATTAAAGTAGAATGAATTATACCTGGATACACTTTTGTCTTCTACTCTCTCAATCATGTGACTAATCATGTGCACAAAAGATAGTTATAGTTCTCTATAGCAAGAGCTTGTGTTTGAGCTAATCAGTGGTTACAGCCTGTAGAACTGCTAGGAAAATATTTATTGTCCACTTCTGGGCGTTTTATTGCTAAGTTTCATTGTTATTATCACATAATATACACAGTAGGTGAGGTGCTCTTCAGAACAAGCAGAGACTTGTGTCATTCTGCAAGCAGATTACCCAACTAGGGCAAATCATACCAGTGAATACCAGAATGGGAGAGAGATGTGGAAGAGTAATTACTTAAATTAGAATGTGCAGTTGGTTTCCTAATGTGCAGTACCTTTTCTCTGCTTTGATGGGAGTATTATTTTCATCGAAGACTAAAAAAGGTTGGAGAAAGCGAGACAGAAATCCTAGCTGGGATTTTCTCTAGGGGAGAAAAGCAGTAGTTTCATGAAATACTATGGACAAATCCACAACAGGATTTAATTATGACAGCACTAGGTATCATCATTTCTGCCTTCTAGGCGTTCAGTTGCCTGGCTGCAAGTTCTCATCCATTGTACTCAGAAGCAGGGAGCCAGATGATGCGTTTCATGTCGATGTTGGTGCATAAAGCAGTAAAAGAAGCTCCCAGTTTCTGGATCTTAGCAGAGCTCAGGAATGTGGCTACTTGACACTGTCAAGATGTAAACAACTCAAGTCTGTTTCTGGGTGTGCCTAAGGGCTTAACTGTTGGAAAGAAAGATAACCTGGGTCAAGAAAAGCCTCTGGAGTTAGGCACAACAGCCTTGGGGAAGAAGGAGTTAGAATCAAGACTTAGGTACATGTAGAGATGTGCAAGTTTGACTTTTTTTTTTTTAATGAAGCTAACCTTAAGTTTAACCATCCTGTATTTCAGACCAAAAGTGGCAGGTCCACAAGTGGGAAAAAAAAAGGTTTCTGGAGAAGTAATTTCCATCCATATATGATGTTTCTGTAGATACATGGAAGCAGAATGGGACATGTGAGCTCAGTATTACTCAGCATAGTTGTCATGTATAAAATAAGAATAACAGAAACAATCAATTGAAAACAATAATGAAGGACAGGTAAGAAAATTGTACTAATACCCATCTGTTGGGATGTTTGTGCTGGTTATTACAGCTTTAATTCAACACCAAGACTGTCAATGAGACCAGACAACATCATTACCCCTGTCAGGAGTTTGTGTGAAGAAACAGTGGCAGGAGTGACTCCCAAAAGAAACAGAGAGAAGGATAGAAGGTTGCTTAAAAAAGAACAAGATCACAACAGCAGATGCAGACCACAGAATGATCTCCCTACCTACATTACCATGGAGTGGGCCTGTGGTTTTTTGCCACTACTGCTAATTTAATGGGAAGTAAAATTTTGACTTTGCGTAGACGTTGCTCATAATGCAGCTCAGCAAAGGGTTTTTGCCAAGTAAGTGAAATAGCAGTTACCAAGCCACACACACCTTCAGCTACAAACAGTGAGTGCCGTCTTTCAGCAAGCCGCCGTTAGTGCTCTAAGCATCGCCTGAGTGTCAGCGCTTGACAAAGCGCTTGGTCAGAGGGCCATGAGAGATATTTCTAACCTTTAGAATCTATTTAAAATAAGGGCACAGCTCATCTCCTCATATAAAAAAGTACTGCTTATTGTAGTAGATTGCTTCTACTTGGAAACAGTCCAGAGATTAGATTCAACCATACGTATTGCTAACTGACCTAACATAAGCCTTTAATTGTAAATATCAGTGTGTCTTTCATTAGCCAAGTATTCATTTAATTAGAACTTGAAGTATGTGTTTTAGGTTAGCTAAAACTATTTTCTATGCACATTAGTATCTTTGAAGCTACTGCAATACTAACTGCACTTGTTATAGCAAAAATGCACATGAAATACCTGCCTGAAATCTCAATTTTTACTGCTATTGCATCACCCCTCTGACATGTAGTGTGTATAAGCATGTCCAATAGGCAGTCACAGGAGACAGAGCTACAAGCTGGCTTAAAGTTGGTAACTTGAACGGCTTTAGATGTCTCTGGGTGTTCAGCAGAGGGTAATTTATATTGTGGCTGCAGGGTAGCTGTACACAGCGTACACGTACACGGTACGAGGTGGAGGGGAAAACTAAATTCATATTCATTAACACCGAGAAGTTAAACAGATTTGGATTGCTCAACTTTGTTTTCTTTTTATAATATACAGCTTATATCACTGACAGTGTTAATCTGATATTCTTGCTCTTGCCTGCTTTGATTGTTTTGATCTTAGAAGAACAATAGTAGATCAGACAGTGTAAAATCTGAAGAGAAAAGGATTCAGTATACAAAAGAATGTACCAGATAGTCTTAATACTGCATTATACAAAGTTCACTTGTTATGAAGTGAATAGAGAAAAAAATGCCGCCACCCAGATTTTGTAGTTTTCCACCAAGTTCTAATAAGAACCGTGATACATGGGACAATAACTTATTATTCGCCATAGTAATTTGTTGAAGTGCTATGAACTTAAGACATTCTGGGCAGAGCACAAAGAACGGAAAATCTTAGCTAAATGAAATAATGATCTCCTTTCACATAGCATACTGTGAACACTTCTGTAACAACTTGAGAAACTCGCTGCAGTGAATTTAACTGGTCTGGGGACCAGGCGTGTGTAATGGGATGTGCAGGCCTCACATGAGTCATACAAGAATTGGTAGGCTGCTGGAAGCATAATCAGCTGTGCAGATTTCAGGCTTCTATAAAAGTTTAAAAGGGAGAGTCCCCTTCAGCTGACAGCTGGTGGGAGGGAGACAGCACAGCTTGCAGTACTTGCTGTGCAAATGTAAACTTCTTACTAGAGACTTCCCACGGGAAGGAGGCTCTAAAGTGGAAGGACCGCCTTCTTTGCCTGGATTAACCCCAGCTTTTCCAAATAGCGGTGGGCTGAAAACATCTGCTTATCTCAGGCCCTGCAGAGTACTAAAGCAGCAAATGTAGGACCTGCAGTGCAGTAAGGAATGGACCTATGGAGCTTCACATAGCACTTCTACACAACTTCATTACACTGAAGGAGCTAAGGTCTGACCCAATAAGTAGACACCCCACCTGTGGCTGAAAATGAGGACTGGATGCAATCACTGGACAGTGTTCTATCATGTGGTGCACTTGTAGCCTTTGTTTTCAGCTTAAATTTCAAGTATGCCAGAATAACTGGAATGACTGTGAGCCAGCCAATGGGCTAGATCACATGAAGGTTTGTTTTCAGGGCTGGCAAATCTCAGACACAACAAGGACAATGGTTCTGTGAGCAACAAGAAAACTGAAGACTAGGACCTTCTGAACTACTGACTGTAAGCATATCATAGTAAGGCTGTAGCACTATCCCCTTTTGGACATCAAATAATCTACACAAGATCCAATAATTTTCTCTCTTTGGGGAAATCTCAGTGTGGCTTGTCTACTTTCCTGTAACTGCTTGAGAAGGATTTGCATCTCTCCCTAGATAGCAGATCTTCCAACCCTTTACTTTGGTTTTAAGTTTCTTCTCATCCTTTCTCTCAGTGAAGGCAATAAAAATCGCTCTTCTCTGACCAGCTGCCTGTTTTCATGGTAGGAGTTTGCAGTCTTTGAGCCTATGACTGCACATTAAATCTGGCTGTGGATGACGGTGTTACGAGTTGTTTGTGGGGGAATGAAGGTGTAGACAGAGTGTGCTGGCACAAGCCTTGCTTTCCTGGAATTTCAGGTCTCTGCACAGGAAGTCTATGTAAGGTTGACATGTTGTAAAAACTGCCCAGCAGAGATGTGCCTGCAAAACATTTTGACACCTATATTTCTGGAGTTCTGTATTTGGCTTTAAGAATATAAGACAATCATCACTTCTGATGTCTTAATTTTGTTACTTGGTTTAATACCTCTTAAGGGATTTAACTTTGCAGAGTGCAGATGCTCATAACTCAGAAATGGGCCTCTTGAAGATGATCTCAAACTGCACGACTAAACTAACTTTTACGTTTCTTAAACTCTCTGAAGGCCCATTTTAAGTGTGGGTCAAGTCCTGCAAGACAGTAAAGGTCTCCTGGAAGTTGTTTAATTCTTTCTGAACTCACTGTCTTGAAGGAGAGTTAGATGAAACTGCTTTCTCATGCAAAGTTAACTAAGAAGCTTTGCCAGAAGATTTTGAGAGATACAAAGGGGACGTAATGCTCAAGTGAATAAGTACATATGAAGTAACTCCTGTGCAGCTAGGTCTGCTGTTTCCCCCTATACAGCTCTTTTGGCTTGATAGATAAGCTTGGGTTGGCATAATTAACCTATCTGCTCCAAATCTTGCCTTTGTGCACTTAAAAGGTTTCATCTCCTTTTGCAGTACTTCTCTTATCCTGCATTCCTTACACTGAAACTGCAACGCTTATTCTTTTGTCTTGATTTTGGGTGCCTGGAGAAGACTTCATTCAAAGGATTGAGCCTGTATTCTTCAAACTTGCAAATGTTCCTGACAAGCCTAAAAACAAGTGTAAGGATTTGGGGACCACATATACATACAAATGAATTAGAAGCAATTCAAACGCATCATTTCCTCCTGCAGTTCAGGAAAAAAGTCTCCTTGACTGAAAATATACAGTACCTGTAAGTTCTGCTGTTTAAAATGATGAAGCTCTCAGCATGATGTAATCATGTGCTTGTTTCTTAACTCAGCATTGATTTCCAGGCCTAAAGTTTTTGATGGATCCTGTAAACTCACCCTTTCTAGGTCTTTACTAATCATTTACATTCTGCCATGAGAACATGGGGAGAACATTTTCCTCTAAAGGCAATTAAATATGAACAGTTGTTTTACATATTATACAGAATCTTTTCACTGGCATTGGTGAAGCGTTTCAATTCCTGTATCACTTTACTTTGATAAGTGTTTTAAAATCTTTATAGCTTTCTGACTTAATATGTTTTAAAGAATTCCTAAACTATGAGATACATACACAAGCATCTTGTAGTACAGTATACACGTAGTATACAAGCTACTCTGAAGCAGAATAAGATTTGGCATAAAGCTAAAGATGTTTCTGATAGTGGCAGTACCAGCTGCTGTCAATGGGCAATGATGGTACCTGGCAAAAAAAATCCTCCCCTTTAGCCCACTTTTAATCGTGGATACAGCAGAATCTTAGGACAGAAGTTTGAACTAGTGGTTTCCTTAAAGACTGCAGAGGTCTTAGGTCTTACAGGCCTTGATAAAATGTATTCTTAATTCTATGAGGACAAGTGTTTTATCGAAGTGTTCTATGGAAGCACTGGGCTTTCACTTTAAATTCCTCCCATAAACAAAAGAACCACAGAATTACATTTGTAACTTCCTGCTCTTCTCCTACAATGTATCCTGTTGACACTTTTAATAATACAATAAAGCTAGAGTGGGATTTTCCAGTCAGTTTCTTTTGCGTTATTTAGTTTTAGAAACATATATATATTAAATGAAACCAGTGGCATAGCAAAGCAATTCCTAAACATTTTATGCCTTTTAATTATAAACTGTCTGCTTCATGTAAACATTCCCCTACTATTTCCCCCATTCCCTCCTCCCTCCCAACTTTATCTCCAATTTCCAAAACAGCCTTGGAAAACAAGAACTGGAAAGAAGACACTTCTGTTGTTCTGCACATTAAACTGCTCTAAAATCCAGGAAGCAAGGAGTTTTTGATCTCATAGGAGCTGACCAATATTACTAAAACTGATGAGATCAAATTATTCACAGCAGCTTCTCTAAATTTTCAAAACAGCTCAAATACATTTGAGCCTCTTTGTAAATCACCATATAGTTCACAGTTGGAGCTAAAAAATTCAATGTACAAAATTCAACTTCAATGTACAAACATCCTTTGTGTGTGTGTGCGTGTGTTTATGTATGTTGCTACTAAATTATGCAAAATAACTTGTAACTGCACAAGTTCATACAGGTTTCACTGAACTATTATATTTGAAAACACATTAAAACATTCATTTGAAATTCTGTTAAAATGCCTTTCTAACAATGAGTTTGGATATCTGAGTCCTTAATATGACAAACTCAGCAGAAAGTCAGCTTTCACTGAATTTTTACTTAAAGAATTGTAAGACTTAAACCTGGGAGTTCAACGTGTGACCTTTTGAGAGCTGCATTAGTACGAAACTTTATTGATCAGATATGTCATATTACTTTATTTCTGTAATCTGACAAACCTGAATTCTGATTCGATTAAGTGTGTGGAATATTTAAATATATATTTTGTAATTAGCAGCTCTGGGGGGACTGCAGCTTTGTGAGCAGCTTGAAAAGATTACCAAAAGTGAGAGGAATCTGGTTGCCACTGCGGCAATGATGTTTTTGTCATCAGATGAGATAATTAATTGTCAGACAGCCAAAGACTAAGCAAATATGCATGTAGTTGAAAAGTCTATGCAAACAGAAGAATTAAATCTGTACATATTCCTACTGCTCTGAACCTGTCTGTTCCAGACTGGTCATACCATTTCAGGAGTGAAACCAGCTGACAGTATAACCAGGTTTTCAGGCAGAGTTTGTGCTGTTGCAATCCTGAAGAGATATGATCAAGAACCTGCAACCTTGTCTGTGCTAGCTTTGCCAGCATTAACAAGGGGGCGACAAGCTCCCTGGTGTTACCTGAAAACTCTGAGAAGGGAGACTAGTATTTGCTAATCTAATTCACGAACGCTGCAACCCATTCTGTTTCTTGGTATATTGCAACTATTCTTTCAGCTTGCAAAATTAAAAAACTTATGTCCTGTAAAATGCACATCTAAGCAGATATATGAGATCTGCAATGTCTTGGTATTCCAAATGCTTCTGTGATTAGATTATTAAGTTCTTAGTAAATTAAAATGTACCTACCAAATCTGGTTTCAGTCTGTACGTCAAAGGAAGGGAATAAAGAATGGAGTATGCGGTTGTTACCACGGAGGAGGTCCAAGATTGTCTAACCTCACGGCTTCTGGGAATGCGATCAAGGGTGAACTGGAAGAGAGCACGATAAAGCTGAATTGTTATTTTTCTAAGACTGTTGCTCCTTCTATAGAGTTATTAGACCTGCCTGTGCCAACATTTTTTTAATTTTTAAGTCAAGTATGGAAATGCTTGGGTAGATGCCTTATTCAGTATTGTGCTTAGCACCCCTGGTGATGAGGTTAAACGAAATACTAGAACTATATATCAATTTTTTGAATCGTTTCTAATGTTACTTTAAAACATTCCTAACTTTAAAAACAATTCTGGAGCAATTCGTCTGCTGTACGTTAACTTTGTGCCCCTCCTAGTGGCCACCGAGACACACTCACAGGTTTCAGAAGCCAGGGCCCAAACCAGGTGGCTCTCTTCTATTACTTGCTTCGATTCTATGTGGATTTACATCGTAGAAAATACAACAACATTTCTCAATTAATGTCTGGTGCATACTGTTAAAATCTAACAGCAGATATCTGTGTCCTTCAAATGAGTGCTCAGCAAGTATTCAGAAGAATATGAAGATGCATACTCAAAATGCAAAACATTTGCCTAAAGAAACAAAAATAACATCTCATAGAAAAAATAAGTTTAAGAAATATTTTTTCTTTGTTCTTTTCCTAGAAAAAGGTAAAGATCTTTCACTGTGTGTAACGGGTATCAAATTAACAAAATACAGATGTTTTCTGTTTGTCTGAGAACGCTGTGCACAAGCTAACTGTAGTCAGGCTAGTCAGGCTTCCTGTGCTCTTCTCAAGTGACACAGAAATCCCACTTAAAAATTATTGCTGCAGCAGAGGTCAGTCCTGATGCCAATTAATTTTTTCATTGTTTAGATGAAAAATAAATACATTAAGTACAGTGCACTCTCCAGTGATACTGATATTGTTTAGGTCTGGACGTGGTCACTAACTCCCTTCACATGGGACACCAGATCACTACTGCTCTGGCAGAACTCATACAGAGAGTGAGAGACTCTAAATATTATTAATATTTTAATATTTAATATTAAAATAATATTTTAAGCACTAAAAACTCCCCATTTACTGCAAATGCAACATTTCTAAGTAACAGAGCTTAGTCCTGGTGATTTGTGACCAAGAGCGTTAGCAATAGCTGTGCATGAAATGCAAACTATATATCAGTCTTGAATAGCAGTAGCTGAGGGCTTTATCACACACAGTGGAAAGAATTAAACACAAAACCTTACAAAGGCAGAATATTAAATTAACTTTCTTGACTGAAATCTTGTTTCATTGCAATAAAGTTTTTTAATTGTAATAATGGAAAGCATTAACAGATGTTACGAACTGGTTGTTTTGCTCTATTTGCAGGTGTTGAAACTGACTGCATTAGTCTGATGACAAAACAGAAAAACAAACAAGGCCCTCGCTCTCCATTCAACAGGATTCTCTCTCTTTTTCAAAGGTTTGGAACAGATCAGATGATAAAAAGAAATGTTTGTAAGTGGAGTTTAGACTTTTGTGTGGTATTACATCCTGCAATAAATATGTATGACAAGGTAGTTTTAGACAGATCAAGCCTGAGTGGAACTATTCAGATGCTCCCCTTCACAGTAAGAATGGAGTTAAATAATATTTGCCAAAGACCTGTACATAATTTTCTTCTTGATAAGCAACTGATTTCAGCAAAACTTGGAAGGGACCCCAAATAGTATCAAAGTAGCAATTTACATGTAGCATTCAAGTAAACATCAAACTGATTTCATCTGTATTCTTCAAAACACACTTCTGAAACTTTTCATTCTGTGGTCTATATTACATGTTGGAACTTCAGCCCATGTGTCAGTCAATTATTGAGTATTAAGCTGGGGAAAAAAAATAGAATTTTGTTTAAAAGGTACTGCCAGGTGTTTCTCATTTAATGGAAACACTGTTAATATTCTGAACAAAGAGCACTCCTGCATCTTTTGTTGGAAAACTGCACAGTGTGTACGCAGTATCAGACATAGACAAGCTGTGCTGCTATCTTCTGTAGTCTCATACTATTGCATTTCTTTTTCAGCACTTCTGTAATGGAGTCAGAGACCTTGCTGTTTGAGGACAAACGTTCCAGACTGGCAATTCAATAATGGTTGATGGAGTACTGTAATTTTAAAACCAGTAATGTAGTCTTTACCTAATTAATAGTACTGTTTTGCAAGCATGCCGACAAAAGTTGATGAAAAATCACCCCTGCTAAAATTATTGCAGTATCCTCAACTGAACATTCCACAGACCTTCCAAATAACCTGGCTTTATGCAGTCCTTTTTCATGCTGAGGAACAAGATTTCCTATCATGATTACTTTCATGAAACATGGGAACACAGAGTAGCATATGTGATCAAATTACACGAAGGCTAGTGAATCAGGCTCCTCTTCTCAGACACGATGAATGGGAATATAAGATCCTGTGAAGAATGTGCGTTCTTCAGTCAATATATCTAAGTTGTCTTTCTACTGCTAGACTAGGTCATTGAGAGCTCAAGTATGTTCTCTATGCTGAGTGCAGGAGGTAACCTGGGTATCAGCTGAGGGGGCAACCAAGCACAACAGCTGTGATTATGGGCTAGAGAGAAGTGAAAGGTAAGTGATAGTGGGACCAGAGATGTCATAAAGAGGCTTTTCTGATTTTCTTTTCCAAAAGATTTAGTGGGTAGAGATGCAGCATTTTCTTTCTTGTAAGGAAGATGTTGCTTCTGGCTTCCTTTCCCTCTCCCTGAATTCTGTAGCTTTTAGAATTGGGATGAGCCACACATCAAAAAGAGAAATTTGTCATATTTGTGGGTCTTTCACACTGTAATTTGCTAAATGAATACACTGATTTTCTCTTCAATCACCATTATAACCTGTCTTCTGCTCAGTTCTTAGTTCTGGAAAATATACTTCCTTGACAAGAAGAGGAAGAGAATGACTATAGATTGAAGCTGTCAGTTTTCCCCTTTGTTGACTCAAAACTACAAGAAGCCACTAACACATTAGCTTTAAATGCATATGATGAGTACATATTCCAGCACTCAATGCCAAAACATGTCTTGGCTGAGAGCATAATCTGAAAGTTAGCAAATATATGTGATAGGCACGTGACCTTTGCTTTACAAATTCATCTTCTATTTTTGCTCTGAATGTTTTTCCTCAGTGGAAAAAGAATGGCCAAAATAAAGAGCATCTGCTGTGCAGACAGCAAACTCAGATGCGGCCAACTATGTTCCTCTGGCTTTCAGTGCTCAAGGAAAATATAACTGCATGATGTGTTAGCAGTTGGAGGGAGTCAGAACGTGAAGTTGCTTAGCAAAACTAAGTATACAAATGGAAAAAATGCCTAACCTTTTAAAACTCAAAATATTTTTAAGAAACGTAATGACCTAGGTTTGGACATTTTTCAGGTAAGTGAACTGGGAGTTCAGCATTCACTCAGGTGATCAGTCAGAAGGCTACTGGCAGTAAGATGTATTACCTCCTTTTTAAACACCTCTCTAACTAATGCTCAGTTTTAAAACCATTTCAAATCACTGTTCAGAAACACACAAGAGGGATACAATTCCAAGTAAGTTTTTTTTTAGATAAAACATTTTAGATAAAACATTTTTAGATAAAACATTTAAAACACTTATCTCAAAAATAATTTCACCAAGGGAAAAGGCCAAACTGAAAAACACAAAAAATAGCAAACCACCATATTTCTGTCTCCATACTTTTATAGCTACAAGCAACACGTCTAAGTCATTTACAAAACCAAAAGAAACTTATTCTTAGTGTGCTTTTCTTAAGCAACAGATTCCCTTCTTTCTATAATTACTTTCATTACAATTACACTTTCCCATTGTTTTTTATCAATTATAACGTTCACCAGAGATAAAGATCATTTCAAAACTAAGTAAGATGGCAGTAAATGACATTTATTTTCAGGTATTTTGCATTTTCAGGGTCTATCTAGTTCAGCATTAATCAACTGTGTTTATTTGGCTCACTTTTAGCAACACAAGAAACAGTATATACAGAGTGGCACTTCAGCTGAGCTTCAGTGGCAGTGATTATCAATCACTAGAAAATCAAAAGCACATGCTGATCTTAAAAATAACCTTTTAAAGAACTGCTTCCAAATTGCCTTGAATTAGAATGTCGCATTAAGATCAAATTATCTTACAAGAATATACTTAACAATTTACCTGGGAATTGGAGAACCTTTCAGCCCTTTTTTGTTCGAAAGAACGTATTTTAGCTTCACTCATCTTATCAGAGTCTGCAAGAACATAGCATCTAGGAGAGTATGACTCTGACAAACAACTGAGCAACCTCAGGATTTCTGTTGTGTGACCTCCTGCAAAACCGAAATATGTTGCTGTTAGTATATGAAATATTTTGTAATTTTCAATTTTTTCAGTTCAATTAGTCACTTTTACTTTTAAAGCTTATTAGTACTAATAACATTGGTAACACTCTTCTAAAATGAGAAGATTCAATTAAAGGATGATTGAGTAACACGAAGGCAATTCAGCTCCCAGTGCAGCTAAACTGATGGAAGTGTTTCAGTTAAATGAGATCACAAAGAAATGAGACGTTTAATGTCCTGTACATGATGCAAAATTAATTTGGCAGTTGCACTGTAGTCCATATTGAAAAACCACACCCTAGTGCGACTGTCCAAATAAAACTACATGAGAGCCCACTCGTGGCTGCGCTGTGGAGCAGAGACTCTCAGTGAGCACATTGAGTGCAGGCAGAATTCAGGGACTGTGCTATCCCAACTCGTAATGTTGAAAACATACTGGCAATGATTTCTGAAGCTAAGCCAGGGTAAAAGCTGAGTGCCGGGACACAAACAGTCTGGCTCCAGCCAAAGGCTTCACCTACTGCCCTTGAATGGGTGTTGACAACCTTCTAACTGCAAGGTCACTTTGTTCAGGGAGCTGAGCTGGCAGTAAACCAAAGAGAAGGGGAGACCGTACTCTCGCTATGGCGTAGGGCTGATCTTTTTGTCAGTTTGGTTTCCAGAACTGAAGCCATGTGAATAATTGTAACAATGAAGTGGGGAGGGGGTCACCTGGGGATCAGTTTGGCTGGATCAAAATACCAAGCCCTGAAATATGTGCATGGCCATTTACTGGGTCTATTACCTCTAATTCTGCTGGAAGCTGGAGACCAAAATCATGAACTGAATGTATTCCTGCTATCTCAGGTTGTGTTTCATCAGCCTCCTAAGAGACCTTTGCTGTCAGAGACAGGTGTTCTGAGCTGGCAAACATCTGACCAGCACGGAGCCACGCTGCTGGGCTGGCACAGGAATTTGGCACCTTCCTGCATGATCTATGCAGTGTTTTACAAACACTGGAGGGCTTTTCTCTTAAGCAACGGCTTATTGAAGCCTTCAGTAATTTCAGTGCAATCATCCAAGTATTTCCAAGAGCAGGAGATTCTGAATTCAAAAAGTCTCGAACAATTGAAGATGACATAATGTTGGTCAGTATTCTGGCAGCAGCACGACGGCAGGGTTAGTTCCTCACCGTCAGCGTGTGAAACTCACGCAGAGGTGATGAGCCCGGGGCTGCTCTGGCCACGTCCGCTGCCAGTTTTCAAGGAAGTCTAACTTATTGGAGGGAACGGACCGTTCAGCAGCCCGGGGGAGGTCATCGAGGTGCACCCGCAGAGCTCACGGGGCGAGGAGGCGGTCCGGGCTGGGGTCTGTCTGCCGCTCCTCACGGCGGCGCACCGCGACTACAGCTCCCGGCGTGCACCGCGGCATAACGCCAGCCCCGCGTTCGGTCTCGCGCCGCGCTGCGTGCCGGGAGCCGTAGTTCCCGTGCCCGCCGCGAGCTCCTTGAGCAGCGCCTCACTCACCGGAGCCGGCCACCACTAGCAGCCTGAGCGGGGCCGTCCGCCGTCCGCGGCGTCTCCTCGCCAGGAGCGCCCAGGGGACGAGCAGCAAGGGCAGCAGCAGGAGGAGGGAGGCCGCGGTGCCGCCCGGCGGCGGGAACGAAGGCTGCATGGCGCGGCCCGAGCGCCCGCCGCCCCGCGCGGAAACGCCTCCCCGCAGACGGCGGCCGGCGCGGCCCAAACCTCCCCGCGCCTGCACGAGAGCCGGGGGGCGGCGGGGCGCCGAGGCGGAGCGGGGCCGGGCCGGGTGCCGGTGGGGGCGGTGCGGGCGGGCGGCGGGGGCTGACCCGGCGCTGCCGGACGGCGGGACGGACAGCGATGCGCGCGGCCCCGCGCCTGTCCTCGGCGTGCGCCGCGCTCTCGCCTGCGTGCATCGGGAGGCGCGCACCGCTGCACGGAGCGCAGGCCGGCACGCAGGAGCGAGCTTCGCCCAGGTATGTGTGCGCAGAGCGCCTAACGATGCGTGAAGTAGGAATAGCAAGGCTTTACTGCCGCTCACGGTTCTCGGTTTGATTCGTTCTAATGCTTCAGCCCCGTATTTCTGTACGAAGCCTGCGGCACCAGATCCGCGTTCTTTCCATCGCTGCAGCGTCCAGCTTCGTGCGGACGGCTGAGCGCAGGACTGACCTCGGGCGAGGGGTGCTGACAAAGCGAGGGTGGCGTTTGGTGATTAGGGGAGAGGGACCTCCGTCAGAGCCGCCTTCAGCCTAGCAGGTAGGGTCGGCGCTCTCCAGAACTTCTTGGAGCGGTCCGACGCCGCGGCTTTGTGGATGGCGTGTCAGCCACGTGCCGGTAACCGCTGTGCGCGCCTGCCTCGTGTGCACGGGCATGGGAGCTCCAACGCTGCAGTTTTAGCCTTGGAAGCTGGACGGTTCTCTGTCACTTGTCACAAAAACGTGTGCCAGCCATGGGCTCGAGTAACTGCTGCGTCATTTACAAATAAGGTGCGTGCTTCCCAGCTACCATCCGCCGGCTTAGGAGCTGAGTGAATCCTCCTGATTCATGGCCAGCATTTCTTCGCGTTGTGTGTTGTCCTTTCTTACGTCGCTGCAACGTGTAATTAGGCAGTTGTCTGAAGCAGACTATTAAAAGTATTGCCATAGCACGGTCTTCCACTCAGATGAGTAAATGTCCTGTAGACAGCCTCACAAAAGCAATTGCTACTTAATCATCACTGACATTTGGGAACAACAAGGCTTTAATTAATAGTTCTGTTGAGGATGTATAAATCTCAAAAATTATTTTTGCTTTCCACTTAATTAGCTTCATAAAACTAATAATTAGGAACAATAGAGATGTGTGACCTTAAATTACAGAAGAAAGGAGGAAAGCAATGGGGTCCTCTTTTGGAAAGTAACTACGATGTTAAAACGAGTTAACAAGTTGTATAGGCAATTTAATCCTATTTTTGTCTGTTTTGGTATCTTTCTCCTCTTAGGCTTTTTCAGTGAAAAGAATGTCGTTAATGTAAAATATATCCCAGATTACTACAGGGAGTGTAGATAGCAACTGTTTTTACTTAATAATTTCTTTTTTTCGGGGCTTTTCTTACAGCTTCTCTTTGCTCTGGTGTGTTTTTTTTTTTTTTTTTTTTTTTTTTTTTTTTTTTTTTTTTTTCTTCATACTGTAAGAAGTTTTAAGGAGCTGCCCTTTGTTGGTCTTTGTATTCAGAAAAGCAGTCTTGAAACCTTGGCAGCAGAGAATAATATGAAAAACTTGAATTTATTTTCATCTTTTTGTGTTATTTCTGCTGTATATGTATACTTCTCCTTTCTATGTTGAATATCTCTGTGAGGATGTTTTGGTGAAATTCATTAAAAACTGTTCTAAGCCTGGTAAAATTGGAAGATTTATTTATTTGGTTGGTTGGTTGGTCGAGCAAGTTGTTTAGAAACGAGGAAAAGGTAAGAGTGATACATACCTGTTCCTTGGACTAGGAAACTGAGAATCTGATGATTGCTTGGATACAAAGCAAAGATGCTGAGGTTTCAGGGAGTCTAGAAAGGTAACAATAGACTCCTAGGACAAGTGCTGGAAGTTTTAGTCATTGGGAATTCTGCTTGAATACCAGATATAGCTTTCAAGAAGCAACTGATTGCAAAGCTTGAGGGAAGAGTCAGAGTTTGGTGAGGCCAGTTAAAATAACTGTTTAAAGACTGAATAGGCAATCTGCAAGCTGCAAACCTAAAGCTTTCAGATGTTTTCTTTTATTCTTTTGGAAAACTGAGTAGAGTGAGCCTGTAAAGGTATCATCTGCAGTGTAACACTGCTAATTATGTCTTTTGTTTTTCAGTAGGACTTTTTTTTTTTCTTTTTTTTTTTTTTTTTTTTTTTTTTTCCCCAGTGTGTTTGCATTCTTTCATATGGCAGCAACTCCCTGCTTACAGTCAGTGTCCTGGAGCAGGGAAATAGCAGGCTTAGTCCTGTAGGAGTTAAGTAGCTCAATAGATGGGGCGGGCAGGTTGCTCTCCATTTGGCTGTGTTGCACATGCAGTCATCAGTTCCCTGTCCAAGTGCCTTGAGAATGCTTTGTCTCAGCATTGAATATGCATGTGAAAGTTAATAACAGAAAGCAGCAACTCTCCTGAAGTTTAACACATTGTGGTCACATTGACTAAATGATGTGAAGCAGGTGAGGTATGGGACTTTTACAAGGAAGACCACAGTTAGTGACAGACAACAGTTTTTTTCAAGACTGTAAAATGAAAAATGCTGCCACTGAATGCAGAACCTATTTGTGTGAGAGAAGCAGTACAGTTGCCCTGAAATGATGTGTCAGAAAGTGATGTCAGTGCAGTAATTGCAAAGGCTCTTTCCAGTACTTCTGCTGCATATGCAGAAAGTACCTTTGAACTTTGTTACTGAAGGAGAAATTATCCACTTTCATTCTATGTAACTGATTGCTGTTATCCAAAAGAAAACTTTGAAACTCACAGGTAGGAAAAAATAGATTTAAAAAAAAAATGGTATTGCATTTTTTTTCCTATTTACTACTGTATAAAGAAAAACATGCTGCTGTCGTTTTTGTGTGTGAATATTCTCTGTGGAATATTCTTACTGGTACATTTGGTGCATGTCTCCAAGAAACTTTTCCAGCAGCTAAAGTACACCTTGTGTTCATGCTTTCTTAACTGGCACTTCGATTGCTTCATTTCTCCTTCTAATGATAAGTTCTAGAAGTAGGCATAAGAAGTATTATGAATATAAAATTAATTAAATAGGAAAACGAAGTACTTGTGTTGTTCAGATGGTATTTTGCTTTTGGTGCCTTCTTAGATAAGTATCTTCTAAATTCCTTGTCCATTTGATGAGGTTTTTTCAGGTTGTTCAGTCTGTGATTTTTTACTCCAAAGTAACTTACAGGTAGGGTAAGTAGATGAAGTGACTCTGGACAGAATCTTCATACAGCATTCCTGGAGTTTAATGATATTACATTACAACAAAAATGTTCAGACTAGAAGGCTTGCTCAGGAGATTCCTGCCAGCCCCAGGGAACGTGCCCCACACATACTTCTTGCACTTGTTTTCTTAAGTGCAGTCATTTCGCTGTGTTTTGAGCGAGAATGCAGCTCTACGAACATCTCCAGCAGCACAACTGGAGGTAAACTACCAAAACAGTTCGAGGTTGGGTGAGGAAAAGGGCAGGAACCTGTCAGCCAGGCTTTGCCACTGGAAAGATCTCCCTATGGAACGCTTTATCATGTTAAACCTCAGTCATGTTATGTATCTAAATATTCTCAGTTTCTGCGGGATAATTGTGTATGTGAAGGGACTTGGAAAACAAAATGTTATATAAGTGTACAATTTCTGCAGAGCACTTTTTTTTTTTTTTTTTTTTTTTTTTAAACGTGCTTTCAATGTTACTTAGAAACTTAAAGAGAAGTGATGATATGTTGTCTGATTAGAGAAAGAACTTCTGACTGGGTTCCTAATCAATCTTTTCTCATGCTAGAACTGTAGAGCTGCGTCTGGAAGACTTCAGAACAATACCAGCATCATGGATGTTGTGACAAATTCTGCTGTTGGGAAGAGCAGGGATTGTTAAGGTTGTAGACTAGAGTGCTGTGCAGGAGCTGGGGACAAGGTGGAGCAGGCAGCTGGTCAGTGTCCAAGTGAGAGATGTGCTCATGTAATGGCAGCATCAGGGTGTATCAGAGTCAATCTGGCAAAATGCATCCCTTTTAGCTGCAGTTACTTTCAGCTACTTTGTTTGGACTGAGTTTACTTTTACTTTTTTGTGAGTCAGAAACTTAAAAAGCTGCTATCATTGCAATTATAATAACGCAATCTTAGAAGTCCTGATTAGTATTTGGGATCAATAACATCTGTATGTTCACTTTACAGTTAGTACTGTGCTTCCTGGCATGACAATGTTTCTCATATATATTTAAGATGGTTCCCATTTATTTAAACACAAAGAAAAAACATTTGCAAACAGTTGAACAGTGCTTGATACCACTGGCTGAAAAGCTGGAACAAAATCTCTCAAATAATGGGATTAATTCTCTGAATTAAATTGCCTTCTTTCTCCCATTCACATTTGCCATTCTTTCCATTTTGATTTCCAGTAGTGTGCTCTGGTGTCTGATGCTGCCATCGGTGGCAGACAACAAAGTGGTTGTTAGCTTACAGCTAAATAAGGAAGGTATCCTTCCCTGCAGCTGCCTGCAGATTTTACATTTCTTGAGAAATACCTAGATTTCCCTTTCTGGCAGTGACAAGTCTCTGTATGTGGGCTGTGGGAATGAGCGAGGAGGGAGGAGGCAGCTTGTGGAAGTCTCTTTGGCCCAAAGTACCACCTATGAGTTTGCAATCAAAGTAGCAATTTGTAGGGAAAATGTTTTTCTGTGCTAGGCACGAGGTGCGCTGCTACCAGATGTCCCATCAGCCCGGTCTGACAGCACACCAGCGAGCCAGCATTGCTCCAATGACCTCACATTTGGTAGCAGCGTGAACGTGTTCTGAGTGGGGTTTTAGGAAGCATGAGCATTAATGGTATACAGCACCAAAAGTGCATACTGCAGCTTGCCCTGATTACTGGGTAGTACACTTAGGGAGCGGTCCTGCAACATAATGTAAACTCGTGTTCTTTGATGTATTCAAAGTGTTGGGAGAAAGAGGCTATTGTTTCACAGCTCAGAAGTACTGAGCAGCCTGGAGTTCACTGGGTGCCTCTGGCTGCTCAGCCTGGACAAATAAGTCCCTCCCCACTCCTCCTTGCTTCTTTGTGTATATTTATATTCCTAAAAATAAGTATGGAGTCTGATACTACCTTCCTGAAAATAAATCTTCAAGTCTGCTCATAACGTAAAAAGGAATTTGCAGCATACTCGGTGGTGAGGTTGTAGGATTCTCTGCACGTTTCCTGCTTCACTAAAACTGGTGAGTTCCAGTGATGGATCTGTGAGCAGAATGTGGGGGCACACATTTGCTTTGCTTTCTTTGGATCCTTGCTGCCAGGAGAAATTTGGCCATTGCTAATGCTGCTGGTAGAGGGAGACAGCCTTATCCATGACCTCATCCATCAGCTTGCATCAGCATATTCTTCCTCCTCTCAGAGGTACTTGGAAATTGGTACTTGGATGACACTGCTGGCATCTCAGGTCTGTTTGTAGGTTCCAGTACTCTGCCCTCAGCATGTTCAGGCTTTAGAAAAATGTTTCTCACCCTTTTATGCTCTAATTTCTCACCCTTTTATGCTCTCTTCTTCCCCTGCTTATGCAGATATGAAATGTGATGCTCTCCACAGTAAAGATGAGTTCCTGAGATGAAAGAGGGAACATTTCTGAGCTGTTAAAATTTCTGAAGATCTGGCATTGAATTGGTAAAAATACTGGAGCTGGAAAAAAAAAAAAAAAAAAAAAAAAAAAAAAAGGTCATATAAAGAGGGAAGAGACGATGTGCTCTGGTTTTGTTCTACACTGTATTTAGTTCTCATTTCTCTCCCTCCCCTTTTTCTTGTGTCTTTACAGTTATATTTTAAAATGTCATTTATTGACTGTTGTTGGGGGATGCTGCCAGGTGTGGCTGGAGGTCTGGGGATTGGTCCAGACCCTGTTAAAGGCCATTTAGTGTAATGACTTCATGAGCTCTCCATGGAAATTGAATTCTTTGTAGGTTTATAAAGACTGGTCAAGTTACCTCAGTATTTTAGTTTGTACAAGCCTGTGTATTGATGTTGTAAGACAATATATTAAAAATTTGGAATCTGCCATTCCTTCTTTTGCTATTTTCTGTTATGTTACAAACATGTAAGATGTGAAGTCCAGACAAACTATTAATGAAAAGCTCTCACAGTTAACAATCCAAATAAAACAAGATAACTTGCCTTCTGCACTACATTTTAAGTCTTCAATTATGTAATCAATACACAATTTAAAAACAGGTATTTTTTTTTCCCATCAACTTCAGATGCATAATGTTGTTCTCTCAACGAATAAATGAATTGGGAAATTGTACACAATTTGCATCAACTATTGTGAATTTAATGCATGTGCCGTGAGGGTTGGTCCGTTCCCGTTGTTGTGAATTAAGCAATGTTAATGAGACAATTGCTTTGAGCTAAGGAATTATGTTAAGTATTTTGCTGACTGACTATTAGTGTATGACTGAAAAGAAGTAAAACTTATGCTTGTGAAAGCACTCAGGAGATGTCATGGTAGCTCCTGATTTATTAAGGCTGGATTAAAGACAAGTTAAAAAAGTAGAATTTCAAAATAGAGATCTTGCATGTGATTTCATATTATTTTAAAAACACTTTGAAGACAAATTACGTTTTCTTTTCTTCTGGACCTTTGTGTCTGAGGACTGGTATGACTGGAGATGCCAGCAGTTTTTACACAGGAGTTAGCCATGCCAAGAGTGTGTTCATGCACTGAAATATTTTTGTTTGTTTTGCATCTAATTGAGAAACCATCAGGTAAATAGCAATTGCCTTTCAGAAGTCCCGTCCATGGGAAGAACGATTTGTTCAAAATGATATGGAGAAATTCCTGGCTCTGGAATTCCCTTCCCCATGTGTTTGTTTTGGTAGTCAAGATCAGCATCAGCAGAAGCCGTGATCCTTGCAACTTCCACAGCATGGATGGGGAATGTGTTCTCTTCCAGATTATTTTTTATTGTAGCAGTATGCAGGAATTACTGGGACAGGTGCTGTACAAATGTAAGATGTCCCTGTTTTAAGGAGATGTAATTTTTGTGTTTTTTTAAGCAAAGATTAATTATGCGAAGAGCAGTGTATTGCCTGGCTTCTTGTATTTTCTTTAGGATAATTTGACAAATAAGTGTTTTGTTTAGTGCCCGGATGGCCTACATTTGTGATGATCAGATGTTCTGAGTTCTGAACGTGGTGCACATGTAGTGCTGTGTGCAGTGAGTGGAGCACTTGCTGTGTGCACGTGGAGTGCAGGGTGGCCACAATGTCCCCGACCTGTGTGTGGCACAATGCGCGTGTGGGCCTTGGGGCTGGAACATCGAGGTCCTCCTACATGTGGCCTACTGCCCACGATAGCTGGGATGTGAAGGCTCTTTCTGTCAGTGGGATGCTCTTGTTTCTGCTGGGCATAGTTTCCACGTAGTTTTTATGTGGAAAGAAGAAAGAAGACATTTCCAGAGGAACTCCAGATGTGTAACACCTGTAACTCCACAAATCAAGTGAACAAGTGCCGAAATTTAGCCGAAATTTATGAAATCCACTAGTACCATTGTAGCAAAGTGTGTATGTGAGCAGTAAAACAAGAATAAATGTACAGTGCTGGACAGAAAGAGTGGTGTTGTAATTGGTGAATATTAAATTTCCAGAAAAATGGCATTGTATACAATTACATGGTGTATTTGTTGCAATTCACAGGGACTTTTTGAACTCACTTACAATGTATACATAGTATGTTTTATGTCGACACTTACACCTTAGCTTTACTTACACATATTACATAGACAATTAGATTATTTTTCCTGTTTTCTTAACTCATTATTTATTATCTGTGTATTTTATATTCAATTTCTTTCCTGATATTTGTAGATATCTGAGTAAGTTGACCAGAGTGAGTGCTGCTTGTCTGTAAAGATGTTTATGGTGTTTGAATAGCGTCAGTGGAAACGGAGGCCTAAAAACTTTCCCCTCTGGGTCTGAAAGGAAAGCTTTAGTTCTGTGTTTCAGCATGAAATGATGTAAATCCAATATTTCTTCTCTTTTTATATCTTTCTTACCAGGGCTGCTGTTTAGATAAGAGATTTGTGAGTTACAGAGCACGAGCTCCTTCACGTGACCAGAACTGCACAGGGACTTGTTTGAAATAATGTGCAGATCCAGGCTGTAGACAGAAAAACCTGCTGGTAGCAATGGATACTAAGAATTAAACTCTAGGTAAGAAGCTCATAATTGGTAAGAGTGCCAATACAAATTTGTTTTAAATAAATGATCATTGTGGTCCTTTTCAACCCAGGCCATTCTGTGATTCTATGATTCTATAAAATTACAGCATTAACAATTCCACAAGCAGGATTTTTGCAAAAAAATATTATCAGCAAAAAATAAAGAATAGTACATTCTGGAGCTTTGAAACAGGTACAGTTAGGTCTAAAAGTACAGTTAGGTCTAAAAGAAAGTATACTTCCTTTAGAAGCAATGTATTATCCCCATTAATATTTACTACCCAAAAAGAAATTTAAAAGTTTTAATATGTAAGAGATCAATTTAAATATCATGTTGTTTTCTGAAAAGTTTACAGTAATTGTAAATATTTTTCAATATTGTATTAGCAAACCATGTAGAAAATTTTTTGTTGTTGTTTTTTTTTTTTTTTAATTTATTCAGGATTTTAAAAATGGATTTCAATAGCATTTAGGCATAAGTAATATGTCTGCAGGAGGTTTTGTTATTTCTTTGTGCTGCTGAGAAATTTTCCTTCATTTCCTCAAGACTCACAGATTAGCAAAGGGTGGAAAACTCAGGGAAGATGGTAGATATGCTTTTGTAAAATCTTAAAAATTGACTGAAATATTTGGGAGGAGCTGTATTGTCTGAAGAAGCTACATAGCATTTTCAGATTAAAGATATTTTAATGTCAGATACATTATAAACCAATCTTTTTGCACCATGGTACATTCTGAAAAAGGCCTCATTGGATGCAGGGCAGCTGCTATGGCATGTGCCAAAGCTGAGGCTGATCTACAAGAGGCTTAGAGGCTGCCTTTAGCATGCAGATGAGTGATATTCTTCCTCATTACCTGATGTGCTGCTTTTGAACATCTGATGCTGTCATGTACAGTAGAATACCTAAGGTGAAAACGTGGTTTTATTCTCTACTTAAATTATGCTAATTTTAATTAACAGCCTGCCTATTAAAGAGGCATTGCTTTCTGACCCTTTGCATGTTGAATGGCTGGGAAATAATTTGCTTGGTTGTAGTGCTGCTTGGCTCCAATTTCATGCTTTTCAATCGCATGCCATTACAAAATACATCTCCCATTTTCTGCTGTTCTGACATCACCAAATTCCAGTCACTACCCCATTCCACAGTGCTCTTGTTGCTAAGAGCCTCAGCTATCACAATGCAGAAGGAAATATATGCATGCAAAGAAAATAGCCTTGAAAGATCTCAGGCTTCCTCCTGCTGCTTTCAGTGTGCTTCATCTTGTGGATTAGGGAACCAAGAAGTAGCATTAATTTCAGAGCTCTCTAGGTTAAGCCTTTGGGAATTGAATGCTTTCTGCACCCTTAGTTTGCTGATTGTTAAGGATGCATCCAGGTGCAGCATTGTTTATTAAAGGGCATAAGTGACAAAGCTGCAGTGCTGCCTTTATTACTTCATTGCTCAGATGTGTCTTTTGGGCACATCGGGGGAAGAAAACGCATGGAGGAGTGTGAGGCCAATAGCGATAGAAGAAAATACTGTGACAGAAAAGGAAAAGGGGAGAGAAAACAGAGGATAAAGCAAGAAAGACAAGAGGAAAAAAAAGAGTTGGTGTAATGCAGTTTGATGTTTTTTCATAATGCTGACATGATGTGTCAGTGTAGCGGTTTGTACTGCAGGATGATAAACTCACCATACGCCATTTTACAGGTCCTCAGTAGCTTCTGGATGGTTATACTTGGGACAATAACGCCAGTAGAGAGGGTAATGCTGCAGGTGAGGTTAACTAAATGAAGGAGGCAGTGTGTGTTGAGAGATAAATGGAGAAGACAGAAAAAACTGGAAGAAAAACTGAAGAAGGGTGGCTGAGATACAGGAAGAGGTTAGCGACCAGACAGCTTTCCAGAACAAGCTTTTGTTTGAGCACTGAGAGTAAGTACTGCTGTCAGAAATGCTGTTTCAAATGGAGAGGTGACTGGAGCTAGGAGAGCTGAATTAACTGATCTGAGATGGAAAAGGGAGAGTGTGTTTAGAGGAAGTAAACTAGTGCAGGGGAAAACTAAGATATTGTTTAATATACTGTTACTCAAATATGTATCGAGAAATGATATAGTGACCTGTGCTGGAAAGGTAAGATTTACATTCCATGGTACTCAAATCTGAGTGTGTATAACACAGCACGCATCGATGTACAAAACATGTGCTGTTTGGAAAGAGTAGATATTGTACTTTTTTTCAGGCAATGCAGCTCGGTAACTATTAACTGGGAGCATGCAGAGCATATGTGGGGGAAGTATACAGAAACAATGTGTTTTCTCTATGCATTTTTTGTTTTTGGGGTGTGGGGTAGGAGGAGTTGTGTTGTTTTTTAAATGGCATCTTGTTTTCTGATTTGCAGTCACCATTTCCCTGCCATTTTTCAGCTATTTTAGCTAACACCAAATTTAGGTCCTTTCTTTTCAGTGTCTTTTCAGCCATGGGTTGTCTATATTAAATGCTGTAACATTAGCTGCCTACAGTTACTGTGATTACGCTCCAGGGGTGGCCTGAACAATTTTCGTACAATGGAGTTGGCTCTTTTCTCACTCACACCAGTCTAACTGTTGGCTTCAGTGCAGTTGCTCTTGATTCACAACATTGTGAAAGGAGAATTGTGCTTGCTCTTTCATACATTCCTTCATCTCCACAATGTTTCTGCTTACATGTATAATTGATTCTCTGGGAATATCTCCTGCTGCTGACAGGTAGATTTCCTAAGATGAAAATAAATTTAAGCTCTTCTTAGATTACTGAGTTCAACCCATTGCTGCTACAGCACCACATTATATAATTTATTTCATAAACTGATCAGGTTGTGCTTTAAACATTAGGATTCTACTCTTAATTCAGATGGAAAGGTTAGTTATGTCCTAAGTTCAAAGCCAGAACGAAAATAGTTTTCAGCTGCTCTGGAAGTATTGTGCTTTCTCACATATGCCTTACTTTTCAGTATGGTGGCTGTGATAAAAATTTCATACTCTGCAGAGGCAAGCTCAGCTCTGAGACAACACAGTTTTGAAGTAACAGGCATACTTAGAAAGGGTCCTGTGGGGTTTTCTTTTCATTGTCACCTCTCAGATTTTAGTAGGAGGTACAAGCCATCATCTGACAACACATTTCTGCCATACCTGGAGTGTCACTCTGTTTGTCAGTTACAGAAGGAGAAGGATAAGGAACAGGTGTGTAAAACTTGGCTGAAGATGAGCTGCTACTTTCCTTTGACACCCCATCTTAGCAGATCCACTCCACTTCAGCCAGATTTGTTCCTCATTTGTTGAATTTTTTAGCTAGTTGGCATGAAGATTAAGATCATCAGTGTAACCAAGAGGTTTTGTTGCATGGATGAAAGGAAGAGTCCATTTTTTTTCTCTTAGGTAGCGTAAATAAGAGGATTCAACTGAAACTAACAGAATGCTGTTACCTACAAATGTTACTGTAGTACCTCCATGTCTTCCCTGCTTTTCCAATGCTCTTTCAGCATATTTGCTCTTTCATGAAGATGGAAAACGATTTCTTTTTCTTGCCCCCTGTTCCTTTATCTCTATGCTACACCTCTGTTTAGCAACTCTGTTGCCCTTACTTCCTTTCCTAGCTGAAGCTTGGCTCCAGAAGTTAAATTTGTTATTGGGAAACCTCTTGACAGTTACCATTATTGGGGCAACCGCAAAGGGAGTGATAAAAATGCGCATAGGATGTATAGCAGCCAGTTGGCTATGGCACTACTATGGTTACTGTTTATCCCACCCTTTGGGTAGTGTATTTCCAATGCAAATAACAGGTGCACTAGATGCAGCTGCGGGCCTCCTGGTGCAAGTGCTGCGTGTTGTGGTTGTGCTGCGAGTTCATCAGTGACTCAGATGCTGGACAGGAAGGTGTACGAAGTAAATTTGTGGATAACACTAGATTGGGAGGAGCTGTTGAATCCCTCAAGGATAGAGAGGCCTTGCAGACAGATCTTGGCAAATTAGGGAGCTGCATGAAGTTTAACAAGAGCAAGTACCAGATTCTGTGCCTGGGACAGGGCAGTCCTGGATATGTGTACAGACTGGGGGATGAGAGGCTGGAGAGCAGCTCCATAGAAAGAGGTCTGGGGTTTCTGGCTGATGGCACATTGAATATCAGTCAGCAATATGTGCTGGCAGCCAACAGGGACAGTTGTGCCCTGGTGTACATCAGGACCAACACTGCCACTGAGCAAGGGGGGGGGAGAGGGCTGTCTTGTTTTGCTCTGTGCTGTGCAACCTCACCTCTGTAAGCACTGTGTGCAGGTTTTGATGCCAGAATGTAAGAAGGATGGAATGCTATTAGAGAGCATCCAGAGAAGGACTACAAAGATGGTGAAGGGTCTGGAGGTCAAGGCATGTGTGGAGCAGCTGAGATCCCTGCGTTTGCTCAGCCCAGAGCAGTGGCTGAGGGAGGCTTCGTGGTGGCTGCACACAGGGAGCAGAAGGGCAGTGCTGAGTTCTGCTGTCTGTGACAGGGCCCAAGGGAATAACATGGAGCTGTGCTGTGGAGGGGCAGGTGGGTGTTAGGAACAGGGTCTGCACCTGAGGACAGTGGGCATGTCTCCAAACCTGCATGAGTTCAGGAAGCTTTTGGCCAGCACTCTCAGACATAGGGTTTGGGTCCTGTCTGGAGGCAGGAATTGGACTCTGATCCTTCCAACTCAGGATATTCTGTGATTCATGCAACACTTTATGAGAGTGTAAAGTTACTCTCTTGATTTTGTTGGAGTTTCCTTGCCCATGCAATACTGGCATAGCATGTTTGCACAGAATACTTCTTGGGGTTTGCTTGGACGTAGGACATCCAAGTTGAAGCTGCTGAAGGTATGCAGTAACATCCAATTCCAAATGTATAGGCAATGCTCAGAATATTCCTGCAGGATATTTGTAGCTGATAAAGAGAACAAATAACCAAACTAAGTTAGCCTGAGCACACAGTAGCCATATTTAAACATGTCTACAGCTTT